ATATATTAATAGAATAAATTATGTTTAATAAATTTATTGTATTTTATATTAAATGTACAACAAATACTCTTTGTGTTTATATATTTAAATATATGTATATGAACAAAAACATAGCATGTTCTGAATAATTCTTATGTATAAGAAGCAGGCATGAAAATATTCTCCTTCTCCATTGCTCATCTAAAAGTTACAATCTGTATAGTTTGGGGGGGTTTTCATTATTATTTTTAAGACTGTTGGTTACAAGGGAAAGCATTATTTAATACAAGGACATACCTGGGGAGGAATAACCCCATGCATCAGGACAGGCTAGGGGCTGACTGCTGGAAAGCAGCTCTGCAGAGAAGGACCTGGGAGTCCTGGTGGACAAGTTAAGCATGAGCCAGCAATGTGCCCTTGTGGCCAAGAAGGCCTTTTTTAGCGTTGCCAGCAGGTCGAGGGACATGATCCTCCCCCCTCTCCTCAGCCCTGGGGAGGCCTCACCTGGAGTACTGTGTCCACTTCTGGGCTCCCCAGTACAAGAGAGACATGGAGCTCCTGGAGAGAGTCCAGCAAAGGGCTGCTAAGATGATGAGGGGACTGGAGCATCTCTCCTCTGAGGAAAGGCTGAGAGAGCTGGGCCTGTTCAGCCTGGAGAAGAGAAGACAGAGGGGATCTCATCAATGTGTATAAATATCTGAGGGGCGAGGATGACACCAGACTCTTCTCAATGGTGCCCAGTGACAGGACGAGCGGCATCGGGCACAAACTGAACCACAGGCAGTTCCATCTGAACATGAGGAAAAACTTCTTTACTGTGAAGGTGACAGAGCACTGGCACAGGTTGCCCAGAGAGGTTGTGGAGTCTCCTTCCCTGGAGATATTCAAAAGCCATCTGGACACGATCTTGGGCAATGTGCCCTAGGTGACCCTGCCTGAGCAGGGGGGTTGGACTAGATGATCTCCAGAGGTCCCTGCCAACCTCAACCGTTCTGTGATTCTGTGTGATTCTGTGACAACCACCTCTGCAGCCCACCGCAGCTCAGCCTATTTTGTTTGATTTCTCCCATTCGCATGGCTTTGCTGAGCACCCTGCGCCTAGTGGGTGCCAGCAACTGCGCTCGGTGCTCTCTCACTATTTCTGCTTGGGGACGGATACTTGTCCATTACAAAAGTGGTAGTGTAGTATGTGCTTTTATTGTAAAAGCTGCATGGTGAAGCAATCTATGGTTTATTTCATGCATGTGTTTTATATAGCTTCTAAAGATATAGATCGTGGTGATACAAAATAGGAATTTGGGCCGTTTTCCCATCCCTTTTCGGGGAACTTTTTGCTGATTTGCCCAGTGATTAAAAAACCTATTTGGGGACTTAGAGGTATTAAGAACAGACTTCTTGGGCATTTGACAAGAAGACGTTGCTGCCTGATGAGGCTCCTAGCACAACAGATAGCAGCCACCAATCCCAGAAGGCACCTTATGCCACTTCTCACTGATTGGGAGTGTGCGAAAGCACTGCCAATACGCATATTCCAGAGAGCAAATTTAAAAATACTTTTCCATGTGGATTTTACACAGCAAAAGCTAGCTGCATAAATATTCATGGGAAGCAAATACAAAAGGTAATTGCCCAAAATGAATTCATTTTTAAAGGGTTGTAAAATATTCATAGGCAGTATTTCTAGCATGAACCTGGAAGAGAGGCCCAGGTCCAGGAGTTATGGACACATTTCTACAGCTTTAGGTACTGCTTGTAGTAAGATTACAGATCCTCATACGCCTGAAACAGGCCTGGATCTTCAAGAGGCTTCAGTAGCTCAGATGTCTGAATAGTGTTGAGGGCTTGGGTCAACAGGATTAAGCTGAAACATGGAAGTAGGCTTGTTATTTCTGTGGGGGGGAGCTGGTTTGTTGACCTGGTGCACAGCTACCCAGCAGGGTCACACACCATCAGCACTAGAGAAATTCTGGTCCCAGCTCCCTCCTCGAGGCTGCTGCAAGTGCAGCTACGCTGGCTCAGGTACCTGTATCTGTCCCTAATAGATGTCTTTTTCCCATGCCAGCTGAGACAGGAGAGTAACATACCAAAGGTTGGGTGAGCACAGAGAGACAAATCCTGCAGCCTTTTGTTCCATCCAATTTTTTTTCAAAGTTTAAAGAGTCTAGTTGTCTGGCTAAAGATTTCAAACATATTTTCCATTGTCTTTGCTTTGTTGTTTCGGGTTGCATTTTAATGCTATATTCTAAGCTGTCTGAAAGGGTACTATGGATGCGATAAGTTTGTATGGGTTACAGAGATGATGGGACAAGTACTTAGATCCTTTGTGGGTCACTGGTTGGCCCTGGAAGTCCCCTGACCTGAAAATGGTCAGAGGAGGGGAGAGCGTGAAGTATGAGTAGCCTGCTGGCTCTATACTTTGCCATATGCGCTCACCCTAGACCATGTGGACCTTTGGTCTAGCCTCACAGAGATGCTCTGTTGTGTATTTGTATGCTCTCCGTTAGACCTGACAGGAACGTCACAAGTTGAGTCTGTGAGAGGTTGAAATCAGATGTCATATGAAAGAAACCTGTAATTCCTTTGAATGAGTAGGTCAAATAGACTAGGAGAGTATAAAATCAAAATTTTACTATTAAAAATAAGGATTTAATCCCACTTTTAAACAATTTTACTTTAAAAAAAATATACCCAAAGCCCTGTGAGGGTCTGCAGTAAAAGAGAAAGGCGCTGTCTGAATGTTTGGTTGCAGTGACACTGAACCACAGTCTCTCTTGGCTCCTCTCGGAGTTATTTTTTAGCAGGATTAAGATTTATTGAACCTTGCTTGTTTGAGATGAGCAATGGCTTCCTCTCCAAAGTGATTATTGGGCAGAAAGTATCCATTCCAAAGGGTGACGTAGGGATATCAATCTGTCTCCCTGTTAGAACCTAACTTTCTTTAAAATGATGAAATACAATGTTGGGGGGGAAAACATACCTGGTAAAGCTGCCAGATGCATCAACACCACTAAGAAATGATGTTTTTAAGCCATGGCAACAGCAGAGGCCACAGAGATCTTCTCTCTTCCTAGACATCTGCGGGGAATATCCCAGATAAACACATGTGCAATACCTGTGCAATGTGCCCGAAAGGCTCTGCAAAACAGACCAAAAAAAAAAAGGCTGTTTGCTTAGCACCGTCCTGAACTAAAGAGCAGGACACGGCTGGTAAGCAAGAGGCATAAGACTTTGGGAAATGAAATGAAATGAAACAGAAGGCCCGTGTTGGTTGTGACACCCCCCCACTGTCCCTGGATGGCAGAGATGACTGGGAACTGAGCGCACGCACTTTCTCTCACTCTCTCTTTGCTTTCCAAGGGAGCCCCATCTCACAGTAGTAATTGGTGATGTGGCTTATGGGTGGACAAGGACCTGAGCGCACAGGTAGACCTGCACCAACACCTGCAGTCATCATCTGAGATCATGAGCAAACCCAAAGGCTCTGAGTCCTCATTATTAATTAACAGTATCACAAAGCATCCCCGTAATATATCCTCTAGAAAGACACAGGCTTTGAATAGTCTTAATGTTCATTCATTTATTCATGTGCCAGATGGCCACCCATACACCTGGGCTGATACCAGGGAAGTCTAGAGCAAACCTTATTTGTCCCCAGGCAGAAGCCTTAAATCAGAGCGCTGCCAGGGTGACTGGGAAAGGGATATCTAGAGACCACCGTTCTCTCCTATACGCTCTTGTTAGCACGCATCCATCTACTGCCATATGGCACCTTATGTTGGGATGTGCTGTACACAAAACTTTTAAGAATCTAAATAATATTTGAGAAAAATAAATGAAAAAAATAATTGCAGTATGAACCCAGCTGTTTATCAGTACTGCTTACAGTTGTGAGCATCCTTACCTTTTCTCATCATAAAAATTGAACCTGCTCAGCTGAACTTACCTGAATGGTGACGTGTCTTCACCGTTGGCTTTCCACTGGCAAATCACCAACTGTTGTACTTACCATCAGTCACTTTACTGATTACTGTCATGTACTCACCAAAAACACCAGTCTCTCTCCTCTTTTCAGTTTAGAAATTTAGCTAATCACAATGAAGGACATAACAGTAGTCACTGCAACTGTGTCACTATACTTGCGTTCAACCTGACAGAAGAGACAGTCCAGAAGAAAATAACAGAAGGCATTGCCTTAGGGTGGGAAAGTACTTTTTAAAAAAACAGGATCCTGAACTCTGTGTGAAATTAATTGGCAGTAATATGGGGGGTTTTTTTGGTTTGTTTTTTTTCCCCCCTGTTCTTACTGCAGGTCATTCCCGGAAGCATGTTCTTCTCTACTTTTTTCAGCAAGTCACCTAAATCTTGTCCCTTGTTTGCGATGGCTGTATGGTGCATGTTTCAATCAGCTATGATGAGATTCATTTAGTTGCAAATAATTGTGTTTGGCCAAATGAAATTGTACAGTTAATCTTAATTATGACCAGATGTGTTTCAATATAGCCTTTCAACCTTTGAATTGCCCAGTATGCTCTCATTCACATTTTGAATATAACTCTTTAGTTGGCTCAGTAAATAATCACAGGCAAGTAACTCTAATGTAACCATAATGAGGGAGATACTAACTAAGCTAAAAGACTAAAGGCTAGCTTGTGCGTTTTTGTAAAAATATCACAAGCATTAAAGACTGTCTTTCAAAAGCTATTTAGACTCTTACTGCCCAAACCGGGGGGGG